GTATTTATTACTCTATGTCTCATTAGAATATTGTTCCCAACAGAAATGCAACTATTTTTATATTGAAAACTTATACATTTATGATCTGATAAACAAGGTTCATATGTACTGGCAGAGCTCTGTGCTTCATCAATGTTCGTAAAAATATTATCTATTCTGGTAGCAGAAAATTTTGTTACCCTTGTAAAATCTTTGATCTGCTGGTGTAGATTATAAGTTAGGAATAAGTTCAGTAGGCATTGGACATTTTCTGTTTCAATAGCAAAATTTATGTTGAAATCCCCCAGAATTACCATTTTTTCATTTGGGACTATTTTATCTAGTGGACACAGCACTATGATGTGATGTATTGTTAGTGCAACTTCACAAATGTGGCACTGTGGTTGATCTGCTAGAGATATCAAGTATTCATGGGTTAGTTTGGTGTGTCCTAATCGAAGACGGGTGATTATAACTTGTTCCCTTCTTTTCAGTGTTCCATAGTTTCATGGTCCGACTTTGGGTTTCCATTCTCTCAGTTTGGATGGGGTACTCTGCCATTCAATGTTCCACTTATTCAACAATAAGCTTTTGAAGTATTGTTTCAAGTCGGTATGAGGGCTATACCTTGTTGTTCCTTGGTTCGGATTATCAATCGCTTCACGAGCATAAAAGTCAGCACTCTCGTTTCCAATAATCCCCACATGCGAAGGAACCCAAAGTAGGATGATTTTCTTCTTGAGCGATTGGAGTTCGAAAAATTGTTGTTTGATAAGTATACCAATGGGGTGTTTGATATATATCCGTTGAAGGAGTTGTAAGGCACTGAGAGAATCTGAAATGATTGAGACAGTGTCCGATGCACTTGACTTAGCGTACTGGAGACCTTGAAGGATGGCGAATAATTCTCCAGTTAGTATTGTTGCTGTTTCTGGAAGTTTGAAGGTCAATGCAGCATAGTCAGTCACCAAGATGAGTTTTGGATGAGTCTGTGTATATTTCTTCAGGGTGGTCGAATTGGTCCAAGATTTGTTGAAAATTTTGTTTGATGATGTTCTTATTTGTATCGTGTTTGGGAAACTGAGATAGGAGAGTGTTTATGATAGGAGTCTGTATGAGCCATGGTGGTGCAGATTTGATATTTGTGGGGTACGGGGTTGGAAATGACTCCAATTGTAAAAAACTTACTTGTCGTCGGATCCTCTCGTAAAATGGAAGATCAGTTCTTGGCCGACAGTAACTTGTTGGAAATCGATTTGTTATTGTATTCCTGTTAGTGGGAATGTTTTTCATAGATGCACCTGCGGCAGCATATGACAAACTCAATTGGGTTCTGTGAAAACTCAGGGAAGGTTCTCCTATTTCACAGTAGAGGCTTTCCACTGGCGTGGTCCTATACGCTCCTGCGATTATGCGCAGAGCAGAATGATGTATTGAATCCAGTTGAGATAGTGTTCTTCGTTTAGCAGAAGCATATGCAATACTACCATAATGTATTAAAGATCGGTACAGCAGTAGCAGTGTTGAACCTTCTGCACCCCATTGTTTATGAGCTAGGTGTTTGAGTAGGTTTATTCCTTTTTGGCATGATAGCACTAGATGTTTGACATGCAGCTTCCAATTTAATTGTTGGTCAAATATCATCCCTAAGAATCTGATGTGTGTTACGAATGTTAATTTTGTGTTATTAATTTTTATTGTTGGTGAGTTCTCGCATTTTTTCTTTGAGAATATGTAGAAAAATTGAATCCTGTGATTTTCGACCATTTTTCTAGAGAACCTATGTGAAGCTGTAACAGTTTAGCTAGGTTATGGATATTCTTTCCTTTGACAAATAGTACCAAATCATCTGCGTATATTCTTTCCTGAAGGGGTTTTTTCAAGGAGTGTAAGAGGTCATTGAGTGTTATTAGAAATAGAGTGGGGCTTATTATCGAGCCCTGAGGAATACCATTTTCTTGAATTCTGCACTGTGATAATGTACCATTTACTCGAACTTGGAACTTTCTTTCCAAAAGGAAGTTCTGTACAAATGCTAATATGCTCCCATTATCACCCCATTTTTTCAATTTGTCAAGAATATTAAAACGCCACGCAGTTTCGAAAGCTTTGTTAATATCGAAATAGACTGCCATGCATTTCTGTTGGTTGGCAAAAGCCTCGTGAATAGTGCTCTCCAGGTCTATTATATTATCTAAGGTTGATCTGTGAAATCTGAAACCCGATTGTTCCGCTATGATTCGATTTTGACTCTCAAGAACCCACATTAAACGTTTATTCACTATTTTTTCGAGTAATTTGCACATTGTACAGGTGATGGATATTAGTCGATAGGATTTTGTTTCAAGGGCTGATTTATTTGGCTTCAAAATGGGGATGATTAGTGCTTGTCTCCAAATTTGGGGAAATTTCCGTTCGGCCCAAATTATATTGATAATTTGTAAGAGAAGATTCTTTGCAACTTTTGGTAGATTCCTCAAGAAGGAAGCTGGTATATCATCTGGACCTGAGGAGGTATCTTTCATTGAGATCAGTGCTTCATGGAATTAGTGATTGGGGAGTTTATTGGATCTTTATTGTCTGTTATTATTATTGGCGAGGATTCCTTCTCAGATTTGTATGTAATGAATGCTTCGTCAAAGTTTTCACTGGACGATTGTTGGCTGTAGTGTTCTGCAAATACTCTAGCTATATCTTCTTTCTGAGTGATAATCAATCCATTTTTATCTAACGCGGCTATACCGTAGTTTGAATGTATACCTGAGATACCCTTGACTTTTTTCCACACTGTATTCATTGGCGTATTACTATTAATGCTTTGTGTATAGGTTTTTGATATTTTTCGTGATAAGTCTCGCATGTGCTCTGCATTTGTGAAATTCAGTCTTGCTCTCCTCCGTTTTAAGATTTTTATATCTCCTTAGTGCGGTTTTGCTTGCTTTTATTGCAGTCTCACATGCTTTGTTCCACCACGGTACAGGTTTACGTTTTTTCAGATGTTTTGTCTTTCCGATTGACTTATTCGCAGCATCTATTATGAGGTCATTGAAGTTTTTAATGGTTATGTCTATTTCATCCGAGATCTCAACTCTGTCGATGTTGTTTCAATTGAGTTCGAATACTGATCCCATTTTGCATTTATAATGTTCCATTTTCTGGATACATACATCACTTCTTGAGGGAGTTTGTCTTGAGTCGTGTGATATAATTATGGGATAGTGGTTGCTACCAAATAAATCATCTAGTATTCCCCATTCTATGTGTGTCAATGTGTTGGGATCACACATTGCTTGATCGAGTACCGATGAATTTCCAGTAGACGTGTCAAACCTGGTTTTAGAACCATCGTTGAGAACAACAAGGTCGTCATTATTGAAAATATTCTCCAGTTTGCGTCCCCTAATGTTCGTATAATCTGATCCCCAGGCAATATTGTGTGCATTGAAGTCTACAACGATAACTCGTGGAACTGACGCCTATCAGAAAACAACTACTCCCCTGGCTAATACCACGAAGGGCGTTGGATTATATCCGACAGTCGTCAGTGCAGGAATCTTCACAAAAAATTTCCTGCATATGCAATTGGCTATACAACTGAAAGAGTCGACCTTCAATTTGCTTCAGTGTGCCTGTTCCAAAATTGAAGGTCGACTCTTTCAGTTGTATGGCCAATTGCATGTGCAGGAAATTTTCTGTGAAGATTCCTGCACTGACGACTGTCGGATATAATCCAACGCCCTTCGTGGTATTAGCCAGGGGAGTAATTGTTTTCTGATTGGCGTCAGTCCATTCAATATATTCGAAACTGGCTTCATTCATGTTGGTTGGACCAAAATTTTTAAATGGTTTAACTACCTCAATTTTATGATTACTCCGTGAGTTACTGATATTCTAAGGTACATCGAGTAAATTTGGTAACATTTTGTGATATCCCTAACATGTTGAGCATACTTTTTATTCTTGAACTGTACTGATCATTATTAGAGAAATTAACAATAAAATCCCCCGCTATTAAACATTTGATATTGTTACCAAACACGTATGTAAATCTAAATTTTTAATGAATATCGAATGGCTAGCATTTGGAGAGTGATATAAGGCACCTATTAACAGTTGCTTATTAGAATATCTAATTTTTATAACTTTACACCAATAGTTTCCTTCCAAGGTGAATGTTCTGAAGTTAGTGTACATAATATCTAATCCAACATTTATTAGCACTCCACCAGTATGTCTAGAAATAGAATCACAGCTCACAATGTCGTAGTATGTTGACATAAATTATGCCACAGTTAAAAGGTATACTAGGATTATATATTTGTTTTTTGTAATTTGTGTATTGTTAACGATGATCGGTTTATTGTTTATAAACTTAATTGTTTTGAATTATCCCCTTTACATTTGAGTTCCTTGGGTTTATTTTTCACAAATTTATAATAATCTCTCTGTTGACGTGTTTGGTCTCCAAAAGTATTGATACCTGGAATCTTATTTAAATTATTTTTCAATACAGTAAGAACATCTTCTCGANCCTGTCGGATATAATCCAACGCCCTTCGTGGTATTAGCCAGGGGAGTAGTTGTTTTCTGATAGGCGTCAGTCCATTCAAGTTACTGTGTAGGTATATTCGAGACTGGCTTGAACGTTTAAAGTTCATTTCTTTAGATTTGTTTACTGCCAGTCTTCAAGCATAGCCCACTGACTAATAAGAAAATCTATTTCTAAAATTATAAAAACATCAAATTTTGAATCAGACACTAGTCAAATTTTTAGGTCAAAAGCAACAGCCGAGTGATGGATGCTATTATATTGTTTATCTGTATGAATTTCCATAACCAATTTCATAGGTTAACTATTATATAAAATCAGTATAGTGTGTGGAAAACTTTCTTCATAAACATCGTTTTGAAGTCCAATATTTCTTACTTTCGACAATTTGATGTTACATTCAATCCTGTTATTTGAGTTAGCTTAGTATTAATCATAACCTACATTCCCTAGAGATATTACCACTATTTTATCAATTTTCATCAATCTACTTACTATTTTTGACATCCAAGAATCCAATAAGTGTTGCCATCAATCCTGCTACAGCTACAGGACTCATCAGTTGCCTATCGCTGTGATAAGGACTTAAGGTAAGTGTTCCTTTGCCCAGATGAGTGAGCCCTTGAGCGATGCGAACCATGAACAAATTGTTTGGGTCCTTGGCATGAAATTGTGCCAACTGCCTCAACATGGCTGCCAGTCTGGCATTATTAGTACCAGCTCCGACCAATCCCATGGCGAAAATAGCATTGTGGGCGACCTCTGCATCACTGTCATGTGAAAACTTGCTGAGGGTGTCGAGAATGCCCAACTTTGGATTGGACACGGAGATGAGTCCCAAAGCCAGAGGTACAGCTCGCCGAATCGCTGGTTCACAATAACGAAGTAAATGCCCAAATGTCCTGAAAGCCATTTCACTGCCAATATCTTCCCCCATGCTAATCAATGCAATACCAAGTACGGCTACAGCCTGCCTGGTAGATAGATCTTTTTCTTTAACAGTTTCCTTTTTGTCCTTATCTTTGGAGCTTTTGTCGGTGCTATCAGAGCCTTCATAATGCTCTGAACAAATGTGCAGCAAATTCTGAACTTTGAGAACGTTTCCCGTTCCAGCGTAGGCACAAATGTCCACCATTGTTGTAGCCATCGACCGGAAAGGTTCAGGTATGACTTCCAAAGTGGCAATAATAGTATCTATACCTTCCTGTTTTCCCAAATGGCAAAGACCCAGACCCAAAGGCAAAAACCGAGCGTATGTATCTTTCAGTTCTGTATCTGATTTCTCCATTAGAGTTTGCATAATTGTTGTGGTGACTTGGGGGTTGCCAGATCCAACAGCGATCATACCACAGGCTAATGCCGACATGCCTATTACTTCCATGTTGGATTTAGGATCTGAGAATACTGGAGTGAGCAGACTCAGGACAGCTTCTCTGTTAGAACCAACGTAAGCCAAACCTAAACCAACAATGGCTCCTATCCTCATAATATTAGTATTATGAAGAACATAGTCACTCAAGAGGGCTAAGGCAGGATCACACTCATTTCGGACTCCACAGTTGACAATACCACAAGCTAGCAGAGCTCCAGATTTTATGTAATCTTCGGAAGAATACAGGTATTTATCAATTGGAGTCAGACCACCATCAACATCCCAGAGGAGGACTAACCCAAGGGAGGCGGTGGCACTCAGCATTCCATGCTCTTTGTTTTTATAAAGCCATTTATTTCCATCCTCCATTAGAAGTTTGTCTTGGCCGAAAGCCGCATTTACGAATCCATTCACAAAACTAGCTGCTAAATTTTGCCTGGCAGAATCAACTTGACTGCCTCCAAAGGGAGGACGACTATTTTCCAAATGGGATTTATAAACATCTTCGGGAGTTTTCGGATCCATGATGTCAAGCTCCCTGGCAAGATTCAGGAAGTGATTGTTCAAGTGGCAGTTAGCCATAATTTCTATAATATCTTCATATTCTGGAGTACTCTCGGGAATTTCTATGTAAATCTGTTGTCTACCCAACATGAAGGCCAACTGCTTCTGGATAGCCCTGAAAAATCATTATTCAATGAAAAATCATTGTAGAACTGATTGAATGAATTCAATAGATCAATATATTTATTTTGTTCTTCAGAAGAGGGCATCAAGATTTCTTTGTGAAGTCAGGCGAATTGTTGTTTTTTTTATTATTTGAAAATAACCGCATCAACCTTATGGTCATTTAAAAGCAGTAACTATATTGATTACAACATTATATTTTGTTAGATAAGTTCAGAGCACTTAAATAATTTAAAATATTGATAGCACTAAAATAACTCAAGGTTTTCTGCGATTCCCTCGATTCATGAATATTACAAAATTATCATCTGTGGAATATTTTTTCATTCCAGCATCTATCTTTCTCAACATTCCACTCTCTCTTGCCTCGATTTTCATTTAAAAAATTTAACAACTCCGTTCACTTTGAGTAGGTATTATACAGGGTATTCCATATTCGATGGTCTGTTAGACGTATCTAGATAACAAAAATGAGAGTTTCAAATTTTGGTTACCGATGTAGATGGCTATAATCTATCGTTAGAAAATATTTTCATTACCGCATTGTTGCCATATCTACATGTAACATACATCAACTTGGAAATTTCAAATAGAACACCCTATATATTATATCATTTTTGAATTCTGCATCGGAATCCAAATTACTTTTGTGAACCATATTCTATACCTATCTCACCATTTTCAAAATATTAATCATTTTGTATTTTTTTTTTTGGCGAAAACATGAACTCAAATTCTGGCAACATTGAGATAAGGTATGGTGGTAGTTATTTCAGAACGAAACTAAAATCTAATTCCATACAGAGAGTCTGAAAAATACGTCTCAATTTGTATCTTTGATGAACGACCATAACGAACAACTTTTATCGACTTTGTCCTATACATATCTCTAACCGTTTATGGGATATGAACTATTTTAAAAATTTCCATAAAATTTCCAATAAAATTAAAAATCAAGTGCATAATACACATATTCTCAATACTTCGGTTTTTCAAAAATGGCGTAGGTCTCGATCTTCGGAAATTTACTCTTTTAGATTGAAAGTTATTGTGACAAACTGAGATTGTTTCTCCAAGAAATACTTTCGAATATTATTAAATTCGTCTTGAAATTCAATACATATCATGGTGAATCTTTTTCTATTACCAATCCAATACAAGAGATAATATTGTGAAACTAGCTTCGCAATTATTCGACATTCGATACCAACATGACAGAAATTCAGTAGCTCAGGTGCTTGAAATGCCGACCATTCACTTGTGAACATTGATGTATTGATATTATCACGTGATCAGTCGTGGCTCTGGGGATATCCGACGGGTCAATTTCCTCGAAGGCACATCTAATCCGATCTTTCAGTTCCTGTTTCGTATTGATAGGTGTTCCATACACCTTTTCTTTCATTTTTACCCAGAGGTAGAAATCAAGGAGAATCAGATCTGGTGATCGAGGCGGCCAAATCCAAGGACCCAAACGTCGTATCCACTTTGAACATATCGGTTAGTTTTCTACTCACTTCATGTGTGCCATGTCCAGGAGCTCCATCCAAATGATACCAACAATTCTGAGACAAGTTCAGACGCGAATTGTCCAGAAAATCACTCACAGTCGATCTCAGAATATCTAAATATTTTTCGAAATTTGACTTTTCTTCATAAATGCAAATAAAAAATGTATCATGCATAGCATACATTAAAGAATAAAACTGAATTTTTGTTGGAATCCCCTTTGTTTAATGAAATGGGGATTTTTGACGATTGAATATTCTCTCACGTGGAAATTGTGATGCATCAGTCCATATATTTTTTTCAAAAAGTTTGGATCTTCGTATGTCCATGTTAGTGCCATTTCGCAAAATTCTACCCGTTTTTGTGCATCATCTCTATGCAAAGCTTGCAGTCTAATGAATTTATAATCGTGCATATTATGTTTTTGTAAAATTCTCCATATAGAAGTTTGAGATATTCCCAAATCAACCGCAGCACTAGATACTTATGCATAAGGATAAGCATAAAAATATCCTAAAATGATTATTTCATTTTCCATATCACCAGTCACCGGACTCACTCGATTTTTTGAGGCACGAGCACGTTCAAGTCTTCTGAATTTTCTATCATTCATTGCCGGTGAATTAGGATATCACTCATTAAATCTTCTACAGGTCTTTGATATGATTTTGGCGCACTCACCATGAATATAAAACAAGTTTAGGATTAGATTAGATTAGATTAGATTAGATTTTTTATTGGTGTAGTTATTACACCTTAGTGCTATGACAAGTCAATAATGTATAAAATGAATGTAAATTACAATTGAAATTGCCGAAAAGGAGTAGGTAGTACATGAAAATTGTATATGATACAAGCACAAAATGAAGTTAATATATCTATAAATGTAAAAATAAAGATACATAGAGACAGTACTTAAATTTCAGAGTTCGAATAATTATTATTATCCATCTTCACTACTTCGATATGAGAATCAGACTATTTAAACAAGTTATTGTCAAATCCATTCTTTTGTTTTTTGAATCAGACTTAGATCATTATACACTTAGATCATGATCCTTGCCGAAATTCAGTTGCGAAATTGAAAATTAATGTTTAAATTAAAACTCTTTTGATATTCGCGAAGATTATTGGAACTAGAAAAAGATTCACCATATGTATTGAATTTTTCAGACTGATTTTATAATATTCAAAAGTATTTCTTGTGTATTATGTACTTGATTTTTAATTTTATTGGAAATTTTATGCTTGTATAGGAGCAAATTTTTTTTAGAAATAGTTCATATCTCATAAAAGGTCAGAGATAGACATAGTCGATCAAAGTTAATTCATGCGATATTAAATATTAAAATTATCATAAAAACGGTGAGAGATAGGTATAAAACATGGTTCACAAAAGTAATTTGAATTCAAAGCAAAATTCAAAGATGATATAATATATGGGGTGTTTCATTTGAAATTTCCAAATTGATGTCTGATACATGTAGATGTGGCAACAGTGCGGTAATACAAATATTTTTAACGATAGATAACAGCCATCTACATCGGTAACGAACATTTGAAACTCTCATCTTTTTCTGTTTTCTAGATAAGTCCCTGTATATTTTGGTCCAAAACCAAACTTGGTTCTTCAAAATGACGAGGTGAGCATGATTCATGGCCGAAAATCTCAGAACGAGTGGCCGTGAAACTGTCACACTCAGATCCGTCAAAAGTTTTAGTTTTTTTTAACTGTTTTCGTGATATTTTTGGGTTTCTGTAATGGGAACATGAAAAGAACAGCCAAATTTCAAAAATGGGCCAATCCCTGAATCCATACTCTAATTATTGACGACTCTATTCAAAATAAACTATTAGTTGTCTCAAATATTTGCACTTGTGATTCAGGGGTATTTAGTAGATATACCTTTACATATTGTTTCATTTCGATACAAAAATTCATTCTATACCTAATCAACTTTTGTTTTTTCAAATAAATATGGAAATTATCATATGCTTCCATTTTGTATCATAAAAAAATTACATAATGGGATCGCCATCAGAAAATTCGTTGATTCAAACCACTTTCATATTTCTCATAATAAGACAGTTACCAATAATGAACGCTCATGTCTACCTCTATTCAAAACTTATGAATGGAACCTTTTATATATGTTTCCATTTATCGCCAATCCATCATGAATCCTGATTCAAAACTGTTTCAGATATGAATGTCTGACATCACTTTCTAAACTCATTACATACTGACCATTTGATGGATAACTGATGAGGAACGTTTGAATTAAATATTCAAAGAACTATTTGCAGTGTCGATTTAGGTCAAAAGGAGATTACTCCAATAGCCCATACGGATAAAGCGAAGGCTTTCGACCAGCCCATTACTCATTTCTGCGGTGAATAATTTAGAAATAAGCTGTAATTAGGGTATCTTGGGATAAACCGGATGTTTTGAAACTTTCCGTGATGATTTAAAAAAAAAGTTCATTTGCGTTATACGACATTAGGAAAATTCCTACAAAATCCTGAAATATTAGAATTCAGCATCAAACTCTGTGATTTATTTTATACCAGTCCACTCATTAAACTGCCTTATTTACATTGAGATCATCAAGGGTATTTGAAAATAATTATATGAGTCGAAATTTGTATAAAATGTTTGGCAAAGTACAGCTTTACCCTTTTATATCGTGTTTAATATCGCAGGATTTAAAATTCAAACTTGGTACGTGTTGTTTACACATGTTTGTATTGGATATGGACAGATATGAATAGAAATTTTATTACAGAGGTTTGAAGTTCTTTTAGTTTCTCACGCAGATATAATTGGATATAAGTTAAGCAACAATGATATAATCTTCCAGAAGATATTTCAACAGAACATACAAAATGTTGCACTGTTTACAAAAAAATCATAATTTTCAGTTTCTACAAGAACTCTTCTGAACAATCAAGAATTTGATAAAAAAAGTATTTCATTAGTTGTTATATTGCTATCGTAACGCTGATTACCACATTCCTTTCCATCTTTTCAACTTCATTGGTGTACTTAAACGGTTCCTCTTTTGGTTGTTGTTTTAGAGTTGTTGGTATCTTATAGCGAAAAGGTTTCCTTCCTTCACTTTCTCTGTTATATTTTCGTTCCTTAATAAAGGAACTTTCCTTACTAGGGTGATATGCTGTTTAAATATTCTTTTCGCTTTTCAACAATGTTCTTGTTCTTCATATTTGATGACACTAGCTTTAGCTGATGGTAGCCTGTCGCTCCGACGTGGGTGCTTTGTTCACTCACTCAAATCGACCGCCGTGTTGGTCGCTGGTTCAAGCCCCAAGCTAAAAGATCGATTTTCACTTGGTATCGTCCAACCCGTGTGAATCACAACTTGAAAGGTAAGACCTCGTTAGTCCTTAGCTCGCACAAGTTTCGACTTCTGAGAATTGTCGCTCGTAGGGGTGCGACAGCTGGTTAACGGAAAACAAATTTTTTAGCGTAACTTGCATTTTCTCTATATTTTTCTTTCTGTTTAGCAATTATCGTCGTAATATACAGTTTCTTCGTCGATATTCTGCCCCAATTAACTCGTGTTGGAAGGAAGTTTGTCACTTCAATTTCGGTTCATTGAGCTGTGATTGTGCTTTACCAGTTTTATCAGGCGGTTTGGCGTTATAAGTGAGAATGCATTTCTGTAATTTCATTTCATGACATTTCTTATATGCATCACACATCTGCGAAAGTTTTGAAATGAAAAAATTAAGCACTGCTCTATATGTACCTGGGACCAATAACAGGGTGTCTGAATAAGCTCTGTATTAGTGTCTTGGCAGAACGATTGGCTTCCAAAATTTGATCTGTTATCTGCTCGTTTTGACTTAGTTATTACGATTCAAGAGAACACTTTCATCTGGTGTGGCTGGTGGTTTTGTGACCCCAGCAAATTTATTCTTTGGCATTTCGAACGGTAATCAATTATGACTAATAATATATAGGTACATATTCGACAGCGATATCATCCTCGTCTTGACTTGCTGGTGCAGTTTGAACATCACTTCAAGAACTACTTTATCAGTGCTTACGATACTTCGGCTCGGATGTCCCTCGTGAGTCCATCCGAGTATTGTATGGGTCAATGTATCTGGAATGAATTCCACATAAAATCATCGAGCCCAATGACGAATGGTATACAATGAAATTTGAAAAGCTAGAATACATTTTTATATGTTGTAGTCTGAAAGTTTTTGTCTTATGCATGTACTGCCTCATTACTTTGTTGTCTTTCTGGTCATTGGTGATGATTTGTTCAATTTCAATTACCTTGAGGAAACTGTTTCCAGCCAAATATAATTGAAAATGTTTGAACAATTTGTTCTTCAGGAGATCTCAAACAAAATAGGTACCTCTAAAAGTAGTGTAGTTGAAGCATTTTTGGATGCTTGGCATATGAAAAACTTCCAGCAGCATTAGAAAATTGTAGCAGATCATTCAGGAACAGGAACTCATTTCTGGTTTAATCAGCATAGAAAATTCTCTGAATGCGATTGCTCAAAAGGTGGAGGAGTTCTTATTGCAGTTGCTGATTCGTTCGTCTCCTCACGGGTTGATTCAACATCATTCATTCCTCAAGTATTAGTCTCTGTAGACATTGTTGTGATAAAAAGAATATCTGATTCAAATTCATTATTTATGATCAATATTCATATCCCTCCCTCTTTATGAAACGTTATGTACATTATCCTTTTCCAAACTCTTACCAACATCCACGACTATTAGACATTTCGGTACAAGAGAACAATCTTGGGCCTAATGATGAGACACCACCACTTTCACCTTCTATTTTGAACGAATCTTCTAATGGAAAACAAATGTACGCTTCACAATATGAAATATCTTCCATGTTTCTAACTTTAATCCAAACGAAATTATTAGCTGTCAAATAAAAATTGTCACAACCGTACCCAGTCTACCCTACCATCCCAGATCAATAGAAATTATCTAATGTTCAGCCAATTTATAAAAAAGGGGACAAG